AACTTTATATTCAGTACCTTTGCTTAAATCCAAATTACCGGAAAGGTATAGAATTTATAAATATTTATTAAATATTTTAATGATTTTAAATTTAATTTCTAATAAAAAAATATATATCAAATTTATAGATATATTAAAAGTTGGAATGAATTTGTCTCAGCCATTCATCTATGCATGCAAATCAATATTGAAATAGAAAATATTGATTTAATTAGAAAAAAATTTAAAAATTTATAAAAATGCCGCCCCGAAAGTCGGACGCGGCATTTATTATTAAAAAAAACAACAAAATTGTTGTTTTTTTAACATTAAAACGCCGTTCCGAACGTCGGAGGCGGATTTTTGTTTAAAAAATTTTTTGATCCGTCGGATTCGGATTTTTCGGATTCGGATCGAATCGGATTTTGACCAAATCCGATCCGATCCGATCCGTGCGGAAGATAATTAGGGATAAATCATATGATTAATAAATTATAATGCTTTATTATTATAAATCGAAAAAAACTCGTTTTTTTCGAATTCGATATAATGATCACTTGTTAAAACGATTTTTTTAAAAATTTTGAACATATAAAGATCGTTATATAGAATTATAAATTTTGATAAACCGATTTTTTTAAAATTTCATAATAAACAGCGAACCAAAATCACCAAACCGGATGGTTCGTTATATCGAATAAAAAAAAATTAGATTATTGTTTTATATCATTTCTTATATTTTGGAAAATCGATTTTATTAAACATCTTTGAAATTCAAAATTCAAGTATTTATAAAAAATCAGGAGGAAAATTTTATCTATCACTATTGTATTCAAATTTCGTACGTGTTTATAAATTTATAAATTAGTAAGCTATTTATTGAATTATACAAAAATAAAATATTACAAAATAAAATAAATACTATACACAAAAAAATTTTCTATTAATTAATTTAAAAACACAAAAATTTACTTAAAAATTTATTTTTCTTTACACCTCCGTCTAGATTTTGATTTTCATCTTGAACATTCTTTTTGGCTAACTTATCTTTTTCTTTTTGTAATTGTTCATGCTGTTCTGACTTTAATTCCAATTTAACTCTCAAATCTTCAATTTCTTTTAGAAGGTCATCCTTTTCTCGTAGTAATTTTTCTAATTCGTGTTTCATTTCTACTCCATCATCTTCTAAACTGTCTATTAATTTGGACTTTTCTTCATTCATCTTTTCTAATTTGGAAATTTCCTGGTTCAATTCTCTTATTTCAGCTTCACGTTGAAATATTATGTTTTCTGCATTATCATCTGATGTTCTTTGCTTGAATTCGATAATTTCTTCTTGAAGCGATTTAATAAGATTGTCCTGTTGTGAAATCTTAGATTCAAAATCAGACTTTTCCAATGCTGATGATGGTGTTGACATCGTGCTATGAGGTTCAATGACTTCTAGTTTATCACTTGATAATTTCTTGGCCTCTTCAAGAGCGACTTCTAAATTTGATATTCGTTGTTTATATTCTGTTGAGAGTATTTCCGCATCTTCGTATTTTCTAGCAATCTCTATTAGTTCATCGCTCATTAAACCAATTTCTTTCTGTAATGTTAGCACTTGTTGCTCAAGATTCTCTCTGTCACTTAAGTGCTCATTGTTCATTAAACCAATTTCTTTCTGTAACTTTTGCACCTGTATTTCAAGATTTTCTCTGTCACTTAAGTGTTCATTCTTTTCGATTTCAAGCTGATTGTTTAGTTCTTCCAAAATATTTAGACTTTCTTCGCTTTGCCTAGCAGATTCATTATGAACGTCTTTTATTTCATTATGCAATCTCATGCACTGCTCATTAAGTGATTCGTTAGTACGACTAAGTTCCGATATTTCTTCCTCCCGAAGAACACGTGCATTTTTCACATCCTTCAATTGAGATTCCAAATTTTGGATGAATTCAGCCTGCTTACTCTCAGAATATTTACCTTTCTCGAGTAGCGCATTGGTGCTATCTAGCGTTTCTTTTAATTCCGCCATCTTTTCTTCTTTTTCTTTCAGTTCAGAATCTAATTCATGAACCAAAGACTTTTGTGCTTCTTCAGCGGACCTCGTTTCCCTTAATTCTTCGGTTAATTTGTTAATATTCTCATTAAGCTTAGAAACCTCCGATAAATTCGTTTCATTAATTTCATCGATCTTCTTTTCCAGTTCTTTAACGAATTCAATTTGTTTGGCTGCATATTGCTGTGCCGATTCAAAATCTGCAGGTGATGGACTTTGCTCCAATTTAGTTTCAATCTCTGCAATCTTGTTTCGAAGTGATTGCACATGTTCGGATTCAGAAGTTTTGGATAATTCTGCATCAGATAATTTCTCATTAATCTTGTTAATGGTGGTTTCCAGTTCTTTAATGTGATTTTCTTTGGTGAATAGTAATTCTTGTTTTTCCATAAGATTCATGTTAGATTCCTTCAATGTAGATTTAAGATCAATGATCATTCCGGCATATCTTTCATCTGAAACCTTTGCTTCATCAAGTTGAGATTCTAAATCAGAAACCTTTTCTTCTAATGATTTTATTGTACCCTGATAAGTCTGAGATGTCGTCTTTATGTCATTGAGTTCATTATTCAAACTCGTTATAGTTGATTCAAGAACTCGAATTGCTTCCTTTTGTTGACCTTCCTGTTCTTCAATTAATTTTGATAATTGATCAGCACGTTCATAGTATTGATTACGCTCTTTTTCAGATGTCATTAATTGATTTTCAAGTTCCGACAATAATTCATTTTGTGATTCCATCTCTAGTTTAGTGCCGGATAATTCATTTCGTAGTTTAGTAAGTGTTTCATTTTCTTTGGAATTTAAATCTTCGATTTCAGACTGGAGTGTGAAAATTACAGATTCAGATTCATTTAATTTGGATTCAAGTTCAGCGATTGTTTGTTTATTCGTAATTTCTGATTCTTTCGAAACCTTCAATGCTGATGTTAAATTCGTAAATTCACTATCGAACTTTGTCCCCTGTTCCGATAACTGAGCTTCTAATATTACGATTCGTTCTCGTTGAGCGACTTCCATATTACGAATACGCTCCAATTCCTGTTGCACTTTTGAGCTCGAACCTTCTAAAACACGTAACTGTTCAAGTGCATGAGCTTCTTTCTCTTTTACGTCTTTCAATTCTTTATTAAAGTTTTCTATTCCGTTTTCCAGCAACTTATTAGTTTCTTTGATGCTTTCGGCATTTTCCAAATGTAATTGGAGCTCTTTTATTCTCTTTCGCATATTCTCATCCTTATTTTTAAAGTCCGATAATTGTTTTGATAAAGAAGCTAGATCTGTTTCCTTATTTTTGAGGTTCTTTTGTAACAAGTCTTTATCTTCCAACTCTTGTTCCAATGTATCAATCAGATCATCCTTATTTTTAATATCTGTTTTAAGTGATGAAACCTGAGATTGTAAAGCGTTTATGGAATCCTGATCAATATTCAAACTAAAGCTATTAGGAGTATCAATATCCTTTTGCATGGAATCAATCGGTTTTGGAGAAGAACTTTGTTGTGAATCTTGGTCTTTCCTCTTTAATTGAGCCTCGAGATGTCTCACGGTATCTTGTAATACCATTAAATTTTCATCAACGTTTTGTTCAAGCTTATCAGACGAGGTTTCATCATTTGCATCTATTGATGTTACGGAAAGTTTATTATTCTCTTGAATGGCGAATTTATGCGCCTCTTTAACCTCTCGAAGCTCACTTTCAAGTCGTTTGATTGTACTTATATGGTCCACGTTGGAAACGACTTCCGCTTGAAGTTTAGCCATGCGTTCACGTAGTATTATTACTTCTTCATTTTCTTTAGCGGGGGTTGCTACAGTCATTTGGCTACGAAGATCACGAATATTTGATTCTAACCTTTCAATCTCTTCAACTTTTTTATTATTTTCATTTTCACGTTCTGCGATGTTTTGCAAAAGTTGCTTTTGTTTCTCTGTAAGTTGTTCAACCTCTTTTTGAAGTTGTTGATTTATTTCATCCGTTATTTCGACTTCTGAAATCGATTTATCATCACGTTTTTGGAGTTCCTCTCGAAGCTCATCCACCAATTGTAAAGTTTTTTGATAATCTATTTCTAGAAGATCCAATTCATGTCTAACCGCGTCCAAACTTTGTTGCTTGTCCTTATGGAAAGATTCAAATAATTTTAATTCAAATTGGAGCTTCTCAACAATTGCAGTATGGGCGAGATCACGCTTTTCTGAACCCTTAAGATCAATTGATAAAGATTTCGCTTTCCGATGAATACTAAACTTTGATAGAATATTGGTACTAGTGTTGGAAGGTTCTTTAAAGTAATATTCATTGTGTGGCGTGGCGGGTGTCATCGGAGTCATGGGTGTTGATGTAAATTCCGAATTATTGTCATATAATTGTAATTCTTGATTTTGTAAAACACTATTCTCATATTTCGACTTTACCTCGTCAAGTTCGGTTTCTGTTTGTCGAAGTTTGGCTTCAAGTGATTTAACGATTGATAGAGATTGTTCGCTTGTGTCATTTGATTTGGCGTCTTTGAGGGCATTCTGTAGTTCTTTGATTTCATTTATATTAGCTTCATTCTTTTCTCGCTCAAGGTTCAAATCAGCAAGAACTTTTTGATATGATGATTGTAAATCCGTTAATTTCGATTCAAGATTACTGTTTGTTGTTGAAATTTCGGTCGTTGTATTTGAAGTTGGATCTTGCTTCCCATTGAATTTCTTTAACTCACCCTCAAGAAGATTAAGTTTTACATCAAGAACACTAATTCGTTTATCTCGGTTATTGATTTTGGTCAAAAGTTCCTGTCTTTCTTGATTCACGTCAGCTTGTTTTAATTTTTCTTCCAATTCTTTGAAAGCAGCCTCACGTTCTTTCAATCGTTCTTCGAGCATTTTCACGGTTTCACTAATAAATTTCTCTGGGTGTTCTTCACTTGTGGTTGCTAATTTCGTTTCAATATCACGTTTTTCTAATTTTGATTCGAGTTCTTTAATGTATTTTTGCAAGCTAGCATTAAGACTCTTTGTTTGTTCTTGATTTTTTGTTAGGGTATTGATCTTTACATCTTTCTCTTTCGATCTAGAATCGGAATGAGATAATGCCGCAGCTGTTCTGGACAATTTACTTTCAAGCGATGATATGGATTTTTCATACTCTACAATTACGGGTTCAGCGACATTCATGAAATCCTTTTCATTTCCTGCTTTAAGATTATTTAATTCATCGTAGTTATCTTGATGCATCGCAAGTTCGGCTGAAGTTTTTGCATGTCTTTGTGAGAGTTCGACGTAAGATTGTTTAAGTTGAAACAATTGTTCTTCCAATATCTCTACGTCTCTGTGATTATATGCTGACTGATTTCCATGTGAAAAAGTGGAAAGTGGTGACGGTGGACGACGCGTTGGAGTGTTTCGCCCAGGAATACCCGAAGAGATTCCAGATGTCGGTGTATTTCTTCCGGGAATTCCGGTAGGCGTTTTTCTCCCTGGAATTCCTGAAGAGATTCCTGATGTTGGCGTATTCCTTCCTGGAATTCCTGTAGGAGTTTTTCTTCCGGGAATTCCGGCAGAAATCGATGACGCTGATGGTGTAGTCCTTCCTGTCGACATACCTAATGATGTTGGAGTGATTCTACCAGGAATACTCGTTGATGATGTTGGTGTACTTCGTCCGGGAATACCTGAAATTGTTGGGGTTACTCTTCCACCAATTCCCGTTGGTATTGAAGAATAATTTCCAGCGGTTGGTGATTTGAGTCTACTAGGTGTCTCTCTTCCTCCGATAGGTGTAACCCTACCAGGTGATATCGTTCCATTTGAAATTCCATTGTTTGCATTTGTATTGGCAAGAGTGACCTTTAAATTTGTAACATCATTACGAAGTTTTATTACAAGGTGTTGTAAATGTCCTATGTCATTCCAACCTGTTTCTTCCTGATTAACGGCAGCGATATTTTTAATATTACGAGCTCTATTGGCATATTTAAGGGTATTGACGGTTTCGTTAAGATTATATTCTGCGGGAGAAACGCATGCGATCATTAATGTTTGTGCATTTCCTCCAAGAGAATCTTGTAATAATCGAGTAAGCTTAGAGTCTCTATAAGGAATGTGAGTTGTATGTTTTGCTTTTGTTGGATCTCCTAAAGCTGAAATTACATTTCCTAACGCCAGTAAACCTGAATTGATTGATATTCCCTCCTTTGCTCGATCACCACTTGCCGCCGTACGTTTTAACTGAATAGAAGCGAAATTTTTTTTTTTTTTCGAAATTTTGAAGTTTTAGATATTTATCGAATTCAAGAAAATTAAAAATGTGAAACAATTTAATCGAATGAGAAATAGAAAATATTTACCCTCTCACTACCAGCCAAATCTACGAAATGAAATTTACTCGTTATTGTAATCCAATCACCATCATCGGCGTGGTCTAATCTCGAGTTTGCTCTTGAACCTGCCAACTTTGATGATGGTGTGGTTGGTCTTGAACCAGGAGGTGGGGACAGATAACCATTACCATTATGTCCACCATTATGAGAAGCCAACTTTTGTTGGGACATAGTGACAGAGAAAATAGCATGTGATCTAGAAGATTTCGAGTTCATATCTGTAGCACCGACTTGTCGATTCAATGATCCTTGTGCCAAATATCTACAAATAAATATTATTTATTGATTTACGTTTAATAATAATAATAAAAAAAAAAACAACGTAAAAAAAAAAAAGTGAATTTGTACTTACGCCATGACTTCATTCACATTATTAACCTGAACTTCCTGTAAACCACTCCAATAAATATTTCCCCTTGAATCTTCACGGATCATGACCTGAGGTCTACATTCATCTTCACCTTCACCAAGTAAATCAATCAAATCTTCATTATAAATTTCTATGAATGATACTTTAATTGAAAATTTTCGATTCAGGTATATTGATGAATTGTTCATTATATTAAATAATGTTGACATTGCACGAGGAATTATTCCTTTATTGTAAAGAGAGGTTGATGGATTATCAGCTGTGCCCATTGTGTAAGTCTTTCCTGAAGATGTTTGACCATATGCCAAAATCGTTACATTGTATCCTAATGGGAAAAAGTGAAATAATTGGTTAGGGATGAAACGATGACGTCAAGACAGTAACCTCAAAACTCAAAAGGAGTGAATCTTTGTCGATCTCGATCAGCTGCGCCACAACTACAAGATACCTTCTAAGTATTTATCCACCAAATTTTCAACAGCCCTTTCATAGACTTCTTGCTGAGTGGTTTCTGGAGGAAACACATGATCAAAATGGAAGATTTGCCTTTTATCACCTTCAACAATAAGTTGGTTTGGGGCATTTGATGGAGCGGTAAGTATTTGACGTTGAAATCTTGAAGGTAATTTTTCCAAGTCTTCTTCGGTAAGTGGTTTTATTCGAAGAGCTGTTTTTTATTTAAAAAAAAAGAAATTATTATCGTAAGATTATTGCAATTATCATCTTTATTTAATTGGACATAGGAAATTTATCAATTGGTTCATGATGTTGGTGATTTGTTGAAGAACGAGGAACTAATATTTGCAATGAGAGCTTTGCCTACCAACTTGTACCGAAGTTACTCCTCCTTCCATTTTTTAAAAATTAAATTTAAATTAAAAAAATTTTTAAACCGTATAAATAAATTAATTCTACGAATTCCCTCTTAATCTTTTATTATTAATGTTTTGTTCTGTTGGAGTTAAAATAAATTTTTTTTTTAAAATAAAAAAATAACCCAAAAATATATGTCCAGCCCGCTGGTCGATTAAATAAAAAAAGGGGGAATCTGATAAAATAAATAAAAAAGGCTTAAATCTAGCAAAAAAATGACAATTCATCGATCGAACACTTCAATTAACGAAGAAATTTCAAGATCGAATGGAAAAACCTTAAAGAAGAAGAAGGTTGAAGACAAAAAAAAGGAAAAAAAAAAAGAGGGAATAATAAAAATCTTTTTTTTTAAAATTAATTAATAATAAGTTAATAAATGGATGGGAAGGTTACTCGAGGTAACCGTTTAAGGAATGAGTTTTGAAGTTCTTTGTTTTCTTTTTTTTTTTTGTTGCATTTTGCATTTTTTTTTTAAAAAAATGCATTCTTTTAAAGTCCATTGTTAAGAATTTAAATCGTTAAAAGCTTATAAAAGGAAATTATGTCGTTTCTTTGTACTTCCTTACTGATTTTTTTGCCTGGAGGGATTACCCGAAAAAACCGAAAAAAAAAAAATAAATAAATCTAAAATCTGATTATCGAGAATTGGCATTCATGTTCTTATTATTATTGTACCTCATGTTTTGAAAATTCAGCTCATGTGATTCGTTGAAACTAAATAGTTCTTATTATATGCAAATAGGCGGGCGTTCTTTTAGGAATTGAGAGAATTAAAAACCTTTGTGTAAGGTCATTTGATTGTTATGTTCATCACCTAGTTGTCTCTTGGTTTTTTTTTATATAAGTCACGAGAAGATTTCGCACGATTAAAATCATTGGGAAAGAAAAAATAGAAAAAAGAAAGGATTGGGGATGAATTGAAGTTATGTTGTTTGTTGTGTTCCTGATCGCGCATTCATGCATTGAATCCACCTTGCATGGATTACTGCGGGTTTCATGAGAATATTTGATCATTATAAAGCTTATTATTTAAAAAAAAAATGCACGTCCCTGCTTCATGTGAATGACCAAAAAAAAATTTAAGTTCTTGCGTGCATGATGACGATATGCGCAGCAAAAGGCAACGAGAATTATTACCTTTTTCTCCATTTTTTTTTTTTTTTTTTTTTTTTGAGAAAAGACCATTTGCATCGAAAAAGAAGTTTCTTTTTAACAATGAATTTTTTTATTTTTTAAAAGGATTTTGTGTTTTGATTCACATGTATGTAACATGAGAAAAACCCATGGTTTGTAACTAAAAAAGATCAAGCAACTTTCCCGTAACAGGATAATTTTAAGACGTAATCCCACCAAAAATGGGAGCGTATTTGTTTTATCAAACGTTGTAAGTTTAGGTTTCGAATGCCCGAAACGATGACGGAAACCAAGGGTTCTAAATTCAACAATGGGTAAAACCCCACACACCAAGTTGAGTATGACGCTACCAAATAAAACGGTATCTCATGTAAAAACCTTTTTCGAAATATGTGTTCGGCTGAAACTTACTCACACCACCCTTTCCCAACTTGTTCATATGAAAGAGAGGGAAATTTGCAATCCTTTGGTCGACTTGATTGAACATTTAGTTATTATTGGCATAAGTAAGGTTATACATGATGAACATTATGCGAAAATAGAAATGTCGTAATATCAATAAGCATATACTGTATGTATCTGTTTGTTGATTTTGACATTTAACAAAAGTCATTTAAGGGTAAAGCTAATAAAAAATAAATAAATAAAATTTTTTTCCAAATAAACTTTTATTTCCGTTTCCTGAAAAAGCGCCCATTTTTTGTTTCTTCAGTCCTACAAGAAATCACAACCATTTAAATTACACGTGCAGATTTTTAGGCGAATCTGTATAAATTTGGTGAGATTAATATATTAAGTCCTAAAAACTAAATCTTAATAATCATAGATAAGAATTTATCCAAAATCTAATCTAAGCAATTATCTATATCCGGGTATATACATACCCCGACCGGAACAGGATTAATATGTTTGTTCCGAAACCTGAAACTTAAATTCAGCCGAGTTTTTTTTTTAAGCCCATTCGAAACTTGATTTTGCTTTATTGAGTTTAGAACTTTTTTGATGGCAAAAATAATAGTTTAGGTGGACATCTGTAGTTACCTAATTTTATCATTATTATTAAAAAAATATATTTCACTTTTTCTAAATGAAAAGAAAATACGAAGAATCAAATTATACTAAATTTAGTCTTATCATCAAGGTTTAACAAATCATCGTCAGGGATGATGTTTTTTGAGACGCCATTAATGTATATTTTTTAAGTATTACAAGTTGATATAAGGCTTTACATTGTTTTCATGATTGCTTGCCCGAATTTTTTATCACTCGTTTTTTTTTTCTATTTAGGAGTGTATAATAGTCACTATCTGATCAACATATTCTCAATTTTTATAATCTATATATAGAATTAAGATTTTTTTTGATTTTTACACAAAATTAATGAGCTTCCGCATTTTCGTTCACATCCGATTCATTCGATGCTGGTAAATTTCTACTCCAAGGATTGCAATGTTCATGTTGTTCTGGGACACGTGCATTCGGAAAGTAAAAGAATGCTATAGCTATCAACACGTATGATATCTAAAACAAATATAGTTATTTATTAAAAAATTCCTTAAAAAGAATAAATCCCTCTTAATATTATAATTAATACTTACTATAAGCATATAACCTTCTAACCAGTTTGCTTTATTATCCTATTATATTAAATGTTATTTACACCATTTGTTAGAAACTTAATAATAATAACAATAACGACAATAATATTAATGTTATTCATAATAAAAGATACATACGGCAACCAGATAATTCACAATTAATACAGCACAAGCCAATACAGATATTTCCAAAGGATTAAAATCCAACGTTAATGGTTTATCAAAAATCCATCCAACTGACACCAAGATTGGTGTTATCAATAGTGCCATTTGCTTTTAAAATATACGCATTTCATAAATTTCATAAGTGTTGGGAAAAAAAACACTTCCCCGTATTGTATTATGAAATTACTTACTACAGATGTATTAAGAATCAAACTAATGGCTGTATCTATTTTATCCTCGGCTGCCTCTGAGATTGCCTGATAATGTTCAATGAAATTTGATACAACTATAATAATAAAATTAGTTTCCAACTTTAAATCTTTTTTTTTTAAAAAAAAAAAAGGAAAAATATTTGAATATTTAAATATTTTAGGTACCACAAATAGGCAAAAGTACTATTCCAATGAAACCTGTTCCGAGTCGAAATTCATGTCCAATATGTTCAATACTGTTAACTAAGGTTTTTGCACATATTGAAATTCCAGCTACCGACCCTGCGATTCTTTTAAAATAAAATGGGTGAATATGATTATCATTCTTTATAATTGGAATTACGGAGAGCGAATGAACTTACAAGAATATATCAAATAACCAATTATACTTCTTATGAAGATGTGTTAATTCTTTTTCGTCTACCGACTAATAAATAAAAATCGATGTTTTAAATTTATTCATTTATTCACACTTATTTCGTTATTGGAAACTTACCTCGGACGCGTGAGTTTTCAATTGAAAAACTAATAGTCCTATATAAACCATCATGAGTACGATGGCCGTGGCGTGACTGATGTTTTGTAAATTACAATCAATTAGATTGGCTTCTTCCGGTAAATTAAGGGGTGCAGCGGCGATTTTAAATGCCGCAGGAGTGATTAATGCGAGAACGGCCAAGGCCAAAATGGATGAAGATGTGTCCACAAAGGTGTTTATTTCAATTTGGATGTGCAAGTGTTGTCCTTTTCCTTCACGTATACGACGGGCCGTGGGCCAAGAGCCTACAACGAATGTGATGCCTAGAACCTGGTAAACGAATCATCCAGTGACTAAATTAAATGATTTTGCGCGAGAAACAAAAAAACTACCTTTGAAAAACCATAATTTATTATACCAGTGTGATATTACAAAGTATTGATCCTAATACGGCGGATCGTACAATCGCATATTGATCGTCCATTAATGCATAAGATTCTATAACCAATTCTACAAAGTTTCCTGACAATGCGTGAAGAACTGATGCATATGCCTATTGAAAAATTTTATATTTATTTATTTATTTTTTTTTTTATTTTTTTTTTTTTAAAAAATTTTTTATATATCATATCGATATACTTTCGTTTAATCGATCATCAAAGATTTACCAGTCCTAACCTAGCCGATAAATCTTCTACACCAATAGTCATGAGATTCGACAGAGGAATTATGGCTAAAAAACTGACGAAAAACGTAATCAATTTGTCGACATTATAATGTGGTAATACGATTGCCGGGATCAAAAAAATGAGCAACACATTTGCTCTTCCTTTTTTCTTTAGTATGGAAACTAAAAATTCTCTCCATGATTTTGGATGTAGTAAGTGACGTTTTTTGAACTTTTCTTCGTTGGATTCGATATCTGAATGTTGGGGGCCAGCAGGTGGAACCTGCTATATTAAATTATCATTAACTTTTGAAACTGCAGAAAAAATGAACTAATAAAAACTCACTTCTTCAGAAGTTATTATATGTTCACTCATTCTTTTTCAAAAAAAAAAAAATAAATAATCCAGAATTAAAGGGATGAGCTGCTTTACCCACATCAAATTCTCTCTATATATATACTTTTTATACTAACCAATAATAATAATGAAAGATCCCGTTAGGCTTTCGAGTTTTGGGCTTAGTAAGAATTTTATTTTTAGTAATGATTGATAAATCTTTCTATTTAAGTAACTTTTCATTTGATTGTAGTTAACGTTAACATTGTTAACATTGTTAAAAGGCCGCAGTGATTTTCATGTAGATATTGTTTAATTAGGAATTAAATTTTTTTTTAAACCTTATTTTTTAAGGTTCTTCTAAAATAATGCCACGTCAAAGAATTAATCGAACAGGTCATCGAACAAAAAGATTCAAAAATCAAAGTTCAATTAATTCATCGCAACTTAATCCAATTGATTCTTCGGATACTTCACCACAACAGACTCCAAAAGAAATTGCTGGATACTATTATGATCATGAAAAAAATAGGTATTTTAAAATAATGCCAAATAAGACGGTTGGATCAAGTCACCCTTTTAGCGCTGATTCTATTGGGACAAAGACGAAAAAAGCTGAAGAGGTGAAAGTTATGTCTGATAACATTTAAACCCAATTTATTATTTCTTTAATTAATTAAAAATATATATATATATATTTTTATCAAAGAAAGCCAAAGAATATACAATACATAGAAAATTTTCAAGCGCAATGTCCCTTCTTTTTGACCGAGAAATAAACCCCAATAAACCCATTAATGTTTCAAAAAGGTAAGTTCAACAAGTAATGTATATTTGTATCCGTTACTTTCTCTTAATAACAAATATTATTTATTAATTGTTTATAACCTCAGTGAAAATCGACAAATTTTAGTAAAGTCATTACGTCAAATTGGTACGATTAAGACAAATACCATGGAACGTTTATATATAAAGGATTTTCGGGTATTTTAATTAGAACTTTAGATTACATACACAAAATAACCCAAATGAAGTTTAATTTATCGGTTTATTTTAATATTTAAGATCCATCCATCTATGAATAAAATATTTTATGGGGATACATCTGGAGTCATAAGGTTCGTAATTTTCGTAATTATACATTACGATTGATTGATTGATTGATTGATTGATTGATTATTTGATTATTTGGTTGGTAATTTTGTTCACATAATATCTAGTCAGATTAAGTTTAAGTGCGCATCTGAATCATGCGTGGAAGATTATAATATACAGATGCTCAATTTTTCTTCAGAGGTATTATATATCTTTTTTTTTTGTCTCAAGATAAACGTTTATCTTTTAAAATAGAATTAACCCAATGATATTGATGTTTATTTAGATAACATCAATGCGCTTGGAACGTACGAATTTATTGATGTAAATATGCAGTTTTATTAAAGCATTAATAAGAAATTATCATCATATTTTTTATATTCAATTTAAATTTTATAGAGGCACCTCACTGGGTGATCCAGTTAGCTCGGGCGTTATGTTTGTTGCAAAAGTATGTTCAGAAATTGATCCTTATGGCTTGGGTAGGTCTTTTCATCATAGCGTTCCCTTTTGGATCACATGATTACATTTTTAACCGGAAACTTTCATCAATAATAGAACCAAAATATGCTTATAATAGTCGTTCGACAATCTGGACCTCTTCATTTTCAGAGATAGACTCTTCCATAGCAGTGGGTAATTGAAAAATTAAAAAATGACAGTCACTTCAATCTTTTAAACTATAACATCTCAAACATTTAAAATCAAATTAAATACAAGGCTCATCACAAAAATTGTCTGTGATACAAGGATGGCAAGAAACGCCATTTATTAGTAATTTTAAGACATATAGTGATGTTTTCGCTTTGGACTTTGATCGTTATCAGGTAAGGTTATGATTTAGCAGTCGATTTCAGTCAAAATTAATATCTAATTTTTTAAATGGGTCATACGCGTTGGAAGCCTAATGTAGTTTTCTCGGGTTGCAGAGATGGGAGATTACGTATATTTGATTTACGTTCCGATTCACGTCATGGAATTGGACCGATGATTGACCAAAAATCCCCAATTTGTCATTTAAAACAAATTGGCGCGTGGTATATTTTATCAGATGGAATGAATGGATCTGTACGTGTTAAGTGATTTCTTTTTGTCATTTCAATCATTTTATGCTAAAGGGTTGGTTTCGATTTTTTTTGTAGGTTTCCTTGTGGGATATTCGAAATGAAAAGAAGAATTATGATAAAGCTTACGATAATAAACCAGTTATAGAATTTGAGAAAAATGTCAATTCGACCAATATTCAGTATGGATTTGATATAAATTTAAAAGAGGACATTTTATCAATAGGTACGCGAGCTTTGCTTATTTTTATTGTCACTATCTAATCTTTTATTCTAATTTTGAATTAGCTGGCCAAGATAATAAAGTTAGGTTTTTCTCTATAAATACTGGAAGAGCCATAAGACCTCCAATTGGACCATTCAAGGATAAAATACCCGCATTAAGATTTTGCACGTGGGACCCATCAATTTCCAATCCTAAATTGGATGAGAGGGGCGAAGGTATCTGGATTGCCTCCGGAGAAGAACTCCAATGGTGGAGCGTTGGCAATGATATGAAACAAGATTAACTATCACACATTACTCGATAAAACTTGGAACCTTTTCTATGTGTTTATTTAAATTTTTTTTTAGATTTTTTTATTGTGAAACATTTAAAGCGTGTCTCGTAAATTAAAAGCGCGTCTCATAAATCGCATTATTAAAAATAAAAAGCCATATGGAACGTTGCAATAAATCCAAGTTGAGAAAGGAAGTATATGTTTTTATACGAACATTTCTGATATTCACGTTAAATCTTATCACGTATTTTTTCAAAAAAATGATCACGTATTTTTTTTTAAAAAAAAATAAATAAAATAAAATGGAACATTTTCTTCATCTTTAGTAATTGATTATTCATTTGCCATTTATCATTGTTAAAAAAAGAAAAAGCGTGAATCATTATCAGAATGATTTATTTAATTCAGTGATAAAATATCCCAGAATACTTCAAAAGTCACAAGAAGGCAGCACGTATTTTATAATAAATGATTTTATTTGTTCTTATGATCTGTTATTTCTAATGGCAAACTAATTAATACATCACTTATTTATTGCCAACAAATTTCGAGGATCAATTATAATTCAATACTTAAGATAATCATGTTTTTCTTTTTTCGTTATCGATTTAAGATATTTTCATTATATTGAATGTAATTTTCCAACAATAAATTTAATGATTAATGTAATATCATCAAGAATTTGATAACTATAATTACATAGATTTGAAAAAAAAAGGAAATCAATTGTGTTGAAAAAAAAAATTCTGATAACTGAAAGATCGAAGAAATTCCTTCGATAAGTTCTATTATTCTAAAAAATTTTTGTATTTTATTTAAAAAAGAATTTTATTTTTATCCTTTTACATTTTTAAAATTAACCTTTTTTTTTAAAAAAAAAAAAAAAAAAAATCAAAACGAAGTTATTAATAACAATTTTTTCTATAAATAAATTGTTTTAAAAAAAAGTTTCGATTCATTAAGATAATTATAAAAAAAATACCGTGTAACGAGAATGAAGATGCAAGAATGATTTTTTTCTTTAATCTCGACTAGCGATTCGTCAAAAAGATGATATATATATTTTTTTCCTAAGCCATTCTTCGAACATTCTTTTCATGATAACAGCGTAAACACGGGATTTCCTTTGAAATTTTTTTAATGTAATTTTTGTATCTCAATACATAGGATAGGTAACATGATACTTGAATGAAACACTAACGAATCAAGAAAAATAACAATACCTTTTATAAAAAAAAAATAATAATAAAAATAAAAAATAAAATAACATAAATAACCTTTTTTAATTTGATACATCTTTGATACAAGGAAACGTATTCTATTACATGGAACAGATTTCTTTTCACATATTCAAAAGAAAATGAAATAAATACCTTTGACACAAAAAGCCACAATAGCCTATATGGTGGTCTTGTTACAAAGGTGTATTGTCTATTGACAATACCATAACACATTCTAATTGAACAATTCTTTATTCATGTGATTGACTTATTTTACAATACATACCTTTAATGGAGCAATAATAGTATTTGTTCGTTCCGGTACTAGGATTTTATGCAAATTAATTTTCTCTTTTTATTTATTTTTTTTTTTTTATATTTTAAAAAAAACAAAATGGCCTTTCATAAAAAAAAACAAAAACAAACACATGCGTGATAAATATGATAAAATGGGTGCGTAGTATTCAAAAATTCCATTCACTCGAGAGGAGAAAAAAAAAAAAACACCTTTGTGTACTCTAGCTGAAATGGTGATTCCCGAAACATTTTCAAAAGCAATGATCTTACCAAAAGAAATTTAATAATAACATAGGGGATGATGGATCGGAAACAATTTATACCAAGAATCTATTCAAAGTAAATCACCTCTTTGCACATTCGACCGATCATCTTTCGTTATTTAATTTCTTTCTCTCATTATTTTTAGTTAAAACTGTGTCATCTCATAATATAAAAAAAAAAACAACGAATGAAAAAATACACTTCTCTTTGTGGTAAAAATCAATTGATCATAAAAATTAACTTTGTACCACACACAACAATTATATATTAAAATTAAATTATTTATTTAGGTAAAAAAAAAAACATGTGAGAAGAAGAAAAAAGAATCCAAGTTCAGAAAAAAGAATCACAATATGTGCATTATGAACACTTAGAAACCGTAAAAGTGCAATACATTAGATTCAAGGGGGTTAAGGCAGAAGAAGTTGATTCTTGGAAGGAAATTTGTGCCAATAATATATTCCCGGCAATAACATTTACAAACAAAGTTATAATTAAATTTATGCTTAAAAGAATATATGATAAGAAGATGCATTAATCTAAGGAGTAAATGTGTAAATTATGCGTAAATTGCACATTTCGCGTGGTGTACGTTCAAGCATGTAATTTAATGGTTCTCGGTGATCACGTGAACAAATTAACGTCACGTGCACGCTTCGATGTTGTACGTATTACGTGTAATTTAGAATGTGTGAGAAGCCAAAATGGAAGCCATGACAATTGTTTTCCAGATTTGTGAATCTAAATAAGTATTAATGAAAAATAAATTATTAATTTATTTTTTTTTCCTTCTACCGTAAATTTTTCGTCGAGTATCACCGTGACTTTTGATTAACCGTGATGCTATTTTAATCATCGTACAGAAATTTTTAATTTCAAAAAAGTAGGTTAGTGTAAATAAAGAATGAAGAATCACGTTGAAACGCAGTTTTATTATTTTTTTTTTCCCTGATTGCTGTAAACAATAAGAAAAAACCTGTTTATAACTCCAATAGTATTAGGGGAATTTTTTTTTTCATATTCAAAGTTATCCATTCATATAACTGAGTCGATTCAATCATTTTTTTTTTTTTAAAAAAAAAAACATCTATGAAGCCTTATTATTATTTGGCGTTTGTTATTCGTTTTAGCCATTTAAGTTATACTACAGCTTCACCATATTATAAGTGAAAAAAATATAATCTAGAATTCTTGATTACAATCACGTTCTTCATTTGCAATTGTATAAAAAAAAAAAAACTTGATTAATTTGTTTAGATCTCTCATTGCAACAACAACAACATTACAAAATTTTAATCAATTTCCAAAAATTTATTAAATTGATTTTTAACGCAAAAAAATGTTATATTGTTTTACTCATTTGAGTAAATCTGTTCAAATGAAAAACCCGGAATTACCGTAGTTGATTGGTGATTGGATCTGACCTTATATTTCAGATTTAGATAAATTGTATATCAATATCGTCCGATTATACAATTAATGGACACCTGATTTTTCCTACGAACCTATCCGATGCTATACCTAAGAATTTACCTTGTTCATCGAATTTAATTCAAAGTTTTTTTCGGTAGGCATTAATTAGATTACGCGCACCTTTCTAATGGAATATATAAACACGTTAAAGAAGAAAAAATTAATAACATAAGACTAGGATCGACGACTCCTGAAAGATGTAAATGGTTTCATTAATTCAAACGCATGAACAAACAAACCCTCTTTACGGATGATTTTTTTGCTTTAAAAGCATTATTTTATTCTTATTTTTTTTCATTTTTCTCCCATTTAAAAATGGAATCCCTGAATTCAATAATTTCAATGAATGAATTTAAAGAAAGAATCATGTTCAATGTCTCAACGCTAGTAAATACTAGGGAATATAAATTAAAGTTAGTCATAATATTTCATCATAAACTAATTTATAAATGTAACGGGTATTTTGAATTTGTCCACATGCTTTTTCCATTTTATTTTTTATATTGTATTTTTTACCTTTATAAAAAGTATATTTGTCGGAGATTAGCCAATTGTACGACTTAGGTATGCCTATTAATTAAACGTACATAAATAAATATTTAATATTAATACCTTTTTTTTTTAATGTACAGTATATATTTTTTTTATATTATCAACGCATATATTTAATATTAATATATTATTGTATATAATAAAACATAAATTAACATAAATACAATACAACCCATAAAGATAAAATTTTTACTTGCGTTTCAAAAAAAAAAAAAAAAAATTATTAAATTTTTTTCTTGCCCTTTTTAAAAAAAATTATATATTTTATTCTTATCTTTTTTTATTCCTTTATTTTTATCATCATTTTATTTTTATTTCTTACTGTAATTTTTTTGCGGCGCATTTAAACCTGCTTTTTTATAATTTCTGAAAAAATTATATATAAATCTGTAAAACTAGTATCAAATTTTTTTTTTAAAAAAAAATCTTTTTTTTTTTAAATCATCTTTTTGAATGTACTTTTAAAAAAGTTCCAAGAAAAAACAAAGGTTGTTATCCAGCGTTCTCTCTGAGAAAAAAAAAACCCAAATTTATATAGAAAATATACGTACATAATTATATACATATATATAAACGCACTTTTATATTATAAAAAAAAAAATTACAAAATCAAACAAAAGTAAAAAAAAAAAAACTTTATCATGGCAGCGCCTAAATTTGATGAAAACGATGTTCTTGAATACTCACCTTCGTTCAGATCCCCATTTAGTTTGATTCAAGATGCCACATTTGTTCACCAGGATGAATTGGCTTTCTCACAATTAGATATAGCCTCTCCGCACATGCCACCACATCATTACCTGGCGGATTCAGAAGACGAGATGGAAGAGAGTGATGTTGAACAAGATGATTACATCGACTTTCGTGAGTTCATCAATCACGATCATGACGACTACAACGACGATGATGACGACGACAGCGAAGATGACGACGTTAATGATAAAAGTATATTAGAAGCTTTGAATAATAGACCCCCTTCAAGATTAGGTAGACCACTTTCCCCTTCCCTTCGTAAATCAACGAGAATTTCCAAAAGGAATGGTCCTTCGGTGGATAGAATAAAAATGGAAAATGCTTTTTTAAAAAATCAAAATAATAAACTCGCCCAAGAACTTGAACAATGCAGGTTAACGATTCAAGCTCTAAAAAACATTGTAGGTCAAAAAGATATAGCGTTACAAAATGTTCGCGCCGAGAATCAAC